TGCCGGTACCGCGGTGAATGACACAACAGCACGCGCAGCTGCTGGGCATGCAACAAGCTTCATTATAAATATGCAGTTACAGACAACAAAAGGGGTGACACAGAAATTCAGAGAAAGGGTCTGCTATGCTCTTTAGAATAGAAGTAAAGCATTGAAACATCATTTGTCCCACATTCTTTCTTCAACGTCCAGAGACTGTTTTAGCAGGAGCTTCACAGTCTTCACCCTGCTCAGGAGTTCAGATATCAAAAGATCCCAGTAAAAACCATAAAGCTTCTTTACATCTAGAATGGTCCTGATGCTTTGTATATTAGCACGTGACATACACTACTAAAATGGTTTCCATTAACATTTTGACTAGACATTTTGTCTCTGGAACTTACTACACCTGCATTAAAACCCACCCCAGCTGAAGCCAGCCTTCACTCGGCCGTGGCTCTTCGATGACTCCTCGGCTTCGTAACAGGCACAGCTCCTCAGCTGAAGGCACTGACCCCAGCCTCCCAGCTCAGAGCAGCCACGTGCTCCCTCAGCACTGAGCATCATCGCTCAGCTTCAAAAACCTGAGCATCAGAAACTTCCGTTTCACTGCAGAGGAAAGGATGGAAGACAGCAGGTGAAAATTCCAGCTACCACTACTGTCCTGAATTTCAAGTCCTACACTGAACATACCATACGCGTTCAGAGTCCTGTAGCTGGTGTTAAACCTTCTCCTCTGACAGAAATCCAAGCGTAAGGCAAGAAAAGCAGAAACAAAAGCAATGTCCATCTTCCACCTTCTTTCCTTTCTCATGGCCAAAAATCATAAGGCTGAATTCACTTAACCAAGCTGTCTCAACAAAACTGAAAAGAAGCATCTTTGGAATAAAGCACACACCTCTAGACTTGACCATGTTCTTAGAAGATAATATAATGGCTGTTGATTTCCACACGCACACACAGATTTTCTTGTAATAAACATTGTGATGACTCTCTTTCTACAAATGTAGTATTTTAAAAACCCGATGTAAAGAATGGAAGAATATTCTTTAAAAGTTTTTTAGTTTGTGGACATACTCACCCCTTTTTTAACCTTTAATCTTTAAAGATCTTTAAAAATCACAGCTGACTTAGGAAATGAAGTTGACCAGACTTTCTTCAGAGCAGAACTCCAATATCAACAGGATTTCAACCTACAGTGAAATGTTCTACATTGTCATGCAGTACCACCCACATACTAATTCCCAGGGTGTCTCAGTCTACATTAGACTAGAAATTCTGAAGACTATTTTGTCTACACAGCATAGAAAAAATGGCAAATTCCTATGTAATGAACAGTGTTTCCTTAGATGAAAAGAAGTGGCACTTGCAAAGGTAACCCAGAATGAGAAAATGGTACTTTATAATTTTCTGTTAAACTTCACAGTTAGATAAAACCTGAACAGTGCTCTCATTCCCTTGCACTCAACACAAAGCCTACTGTTAACTTTTTTTCCAAGCTTTGAAAAATAAACTAATTCCAGGCTTTGACCAAAGAAGAGTAGGGTTTTTGTCTTATCTAAAAGCCTGCAGAGAAGGCTTAAAAAATGCATTAGAAATACTTGAGAGTTCAAATACACATTCTCTCTTGGAAATTCTCTATAAGTAAAGGTCTACCAAGAGTTACTTTGTCCAGTTCTATCTCACTCTCTACTAACACGAATAGACTGGATAAAACTAACCAGTTGGCTTTTAAAACCATGTTTGAAACACCTTCAGACCTTCCTTAAGTGTAAGTACAGAGATTATCTAAGACTTCCTCCCCTTCACGATTACGTTTTACCATATAGTTCAACTGAAATAACATTCAGTATCAGCCAGAGTGTGTGGAACGTATACTAAGAAGCAATTATAGGGCTTCTGTGAAGACAGAGGACTTCATCCTTCAGAAAACAAGTATTTTCCATGGCTAGTTTTATTCTCAATTATACCATAACCAAGTGTTGGCAATTATTGTCTTAAAAGCTAAGAAAGCAGGATTTCAATCCAGCAACAAATTTAGGATCAACTCTATATTCAGTTACAAGTCACTGTCCTACAGAGACCTTCTCCAGAATGCTTAACGTTAGCAAGTTTCACTATACATAGTCAAAGTATGCTCTATGTCAAATATCAGCAAAATTTTGTCTAAGGGACTCATCAATAAATGAAGACTTTATATACTTAATGGAACCATAATTTTTGTTTTCACTGGTACCAATTACTGTCAGAAGAAAAAGATTGTTTCTCAGTATGTAAAACTGATGACAAATAAGAATAGAAAGAATTAAATACACAAGTGTGTGGCACTAAGTGCATGGCTTAAGTAGGGGTTTGGATTTTGTGGGGGTTTTTTTCCATATTCTTTTAAAGTGCTTTGTGTGATCCACCATCAAAACACGTTTGTGTAAAGACAGATGCTAGTATAGTTGACATCACAGGAATACAAAAATTAAGCATTCACACTATTGCTTTGACTTGAATATTAAAAAAAAAAAAAGCAAAGGCCCATATATTTAGATACAGATTAGAAATGTTTCTACATTTCCTATATACAACCAAAGAACACGTTACACTCAGATTATTAGAAACAGGCTCTTCTGATACAGTTCACAAAGTGACAAAGCTCACAGTAAAGTTAATGCTTTACTTCCATAATGTAAACACATCTCAAAGAATAAGCTAACAGTATCAGAGATGAGATGACTTAGATCAGTAAAATCAAAGCAACTGGATACATGAACCTTTGTCTCTATAAGGCTTAGCTCACAAGCTCAGGCTGTACATTTATTCTTCGAAGGACATCTTCTGGCATGCAAAAGACAGGATTGACGGCCTTAATTTGTTCTTCTCCTAATAAAGATAGTCCAGCAATTCCAAATAAGGTGTGAAATGGATCCACCTGGGAGAAGACAGAAAGTTTGTGACCATTTTCAAAAGTCAATCAGCTTTTCATTTGTATGGAATGAAGCTTTTGTTTGCTAGCAAGAAAACTGCAGATCTCCATGGTTGGAGAAGACAATGCAACTGAACAAACTTTCATTTGTACTCACAGGTGTTGACAGGCAAGATAACTTCCAAAGCATGCATTTACAACACTAAAATTTACTCAGAGATACTTGTTGATTGTCTGCTGCTGTTAAAATGACTGTCAACTCTGATTTTGGCAGGAAGCAGTCACATGTGTCCATTAGCAAGCAATGTCATAGGGTAGCAGAAGCAAAGATAATAAATACTATAAAAGTAAATTCAATCATTTACAAATATCACTTCCATAAATTCCCCCTTTCGCTCTTCAGCAACATTATAATGCTCTTCAATGGTCTCTGAATACAGAGCTGTGCTGTAAAATTTTGAGAGAGGAGCAGTAACCTACTATGCTAGAAATGTGAAGTAAATATAAGGAAGGAAAAAAAAAAAACAGAAGAGACAGGACCAGTTATTTCGTATCCAAGTATTCCTTCACTGTATGAACCTTGTCTAAAAGCATATATCACCACATAAGTGCAACAGTCTATGAAGTCTCATAACATAAGCATCCCGTCAGCAGTTAATCAGCCATTCTACAAAATCCTATCCAAAAGTACCTGTGCTGTCTGGTGCAGCATATATCCTGTTTGCATTAACAGAACTCCTGAATCTTACCACAGAGGTTCTATGCTGCAGTAAACTAAGCTGAATTACCATGTTATAGCCATATACAGGACCTCCAACCATTGATCACAGCCTAGAAGGTTCAAACTACATTAGCAAAGCGAGTCTTGCCCCTTAGTGGTTTGGCGACCTGTCCTGGTTTCCCGGTTCCTGGTCTAAACCACAACACAACCACATTACAGATGTGGTCAAAGCTCAGACGCACGCTTACTTGCTCCTTCCCAGAATGAGTAGATGGCCATTAGAGGAAGGGTAAAACAAATAAGTATGTAGCAAAATAATAATAATAAACAGTACACTTTAGGAATGACAAGACAATTTCCTTGTACAGATGGACAGGCCCATAACAGGAGAGTGTCCCCAACGGGAAGTGTGCAAATGAAGTTACAGATTCAACCTCTTAATGAACAGTATGTACGTTCAGGGAAAGCCAGATTCCTAGATTTATCTACTGCTATGTTGTCTGCTCCTTTCTGCAATTTTCTATAAAGCAAATAAAAAAGGAAAAACCTGCCGAATTACAACTAAGACCTAACTTGCACAGCTACTAAGTTAAGTTATCAAGAATTAGCTGCTTGGAAGTTGAAAAAAGATGACAGAGCTGTCTTATTGTCAATTGGTTCAAAACCTGAAATACAATCACAATGTCAAGACTAGAACCTAAAACTAATTAAAAAAAAAAAATCAAAAACCCCACCCCTCAAAAACCAAACCAAAAAAACCAATCCCAAAACCACAAAACAAACAAACTCAATAAACAACAAAAAAAACCCACCAAAAAACCCCACAAAAACAACAGGATCTGTCAACACTTCTATGGCAGTGTCCACTTCAACAACGGACGACAGGTAAAAATAACATGAAACAACCACTAACATAATACGCAAAAACTCTCCCAAAAGAGCCGGCATTAGATATAGAGGAAAGGCTCTCCAAAGCTGCTCTTCTAGCAAGACAAAAATAGCTCAAGTTTACTCTTGAAGCCAGAAAAGCATTAAGACTTTAAGTGCTGGGCTTTTCTTGGAGAATTCTGAAAAGGTAAAAATTATTTCTGTGAGTTCCCATTTTAAGAACACCAAAACATTTTCCAAGTAACAGACCACAGTAAAGAGATTTCTCCCTCTCCTCCAAGTAGGAATAATGCATCAGCTTGCAAAGAAATAGAAAGCTACTTCAGTTTGTAATGTGTCTGTGGAGAAAGAAGACATGGTCAGCTGCAACAAAACCAGCTAAGACTTCCCTGACCATTGACAAATAAGCAGCTAAGCATTCTATACCAATTGCACTGAGGTCTCGCAATACTTTTACCTGTCCAGCACCCTTGAAAGACATAAACTTTGCCATTTTACCTGGACAATCTCTGTTTCTGCTTGAAACCAGAGAGAACAGCTAAAACGTAACTACTGTCTCAACCAAGCAGAAAATCCATACCACCAGCCTCTTCATAATGTTGCCACCAAAGCTTCTTCCTCCCTCATCTAGATAAATACCAGTCAGAGGATTTATTCAGTGGCTGAGCTGACACAGAACATAAGTTAGCATATAAGGCTTCTTAATAAAAACTTACGACTCATTTAGATCAGGCAAAGCCACCAAGAGAGCTGAAGGCTACTTAACCTGCTCTGGACCCTAGCTTGTGTATCATTTTACAAACCAAACCTCTAAAAAACCTATGCATCCCCCCCCCCCCCCCAGTATTTTTACAGAGATCTTCCAAGAGGTCCCATGAGAAACGATTTGTGTTGTATGTGTTACGGGAACCAAACCAGAATTTGTAAGGAATGGCAACTGACTTCACTGGGGGACACTACAGTGCAAATGCAATATAAAATGTGCGCTCCCCGAGTCAGCTTTCAGAAGCAACTCTATCCTATTCTTTCCTTCAAAATAAACTGCAGGCTCTGCAAAACGCTTACACCTGGTTCACGAGTTGAGTTACACTCAAACAAGAAAACTTACTTTCTCAGTTGAAATCTTTGATTAACTATATTTTATTTAGTAAAGAATTACTTACCATATCTCCTGGTCTGTCAGCAAATCCTCCAGTCTCCTCATCCTGGCAAGCCAAAATAAAGCAGCGCAGTTTCTCTCTGTCAATCCAATGTAACCTACCAATCATCTTCAAAGATGCTAGCACCCACCACGAGTAACACACATCAGGTAACTGGCAAGCAGAGAAGCAGATTATTATTTGAATTGTTTTAAACATGACGTTGCAAATTTTATTGGTGATTCTGCAAATTACTAGGTGTGCTGTCACAATACTGTTGCAGAGAATTAAAGAGTTTATTTGGAGAAAAAGAGAAGAAAGTTCCTGGATGCAATCTCTGATGTCAGAGGACTTCCCTTTTCCAGGAAGGGAAAGTATCTTTTTCAAACCTCTTCCCTTCTTCAAGAAAAAAGCCACAAGAATGGGATACTGAAACAGCTTTCACCTTCTGTGGGAGAGGCTAAAAATCCACAACGCCTTTTTCAGAAGTAAGTACAAAGAACTTCATATCAACTAGTTTCATTTAAAAAAAAAAAAAAAAAATCTGTTGGATGGGTATCTATCTGCCAGTGGAGACTATTCTAGATTACACAATTCCCTAGTATGATGTGGAACGCTATTACACCCAGGATTTACATCCAGTAAAACAGTAATTTTTGTACAAACCTACAGAAGAGATCATTCCCAATGTCGAAAAGTATTCAAGCCCTGATTTAACAGGATACTGGTTCAAGTGGTCAGCAACAGATAATTCAGTATGTGTACTTTCCTGAACGGAGGACTCAAACTAAGCACTAGCTAAGGACTGTATGACAACTGTTAGTGACAAAACAAAGAATCAAAATGAAGGCTTGGCTTCTCTGAAAAGTTTACTAAATATTTCATAGAAGTCATGACATTTTCCAGAAGTACTTCAGCTTCAGAAAAAATAATCACTATTGAGGCTTGAACAAACAAAAGAAGCTACCTAATACCTTCTCTGGTCGTCCGTTGAGACCTCCAGAAGGTAACTGACGTTCACAAAGCCACCAACCCAGCAGGTCAACGTTTATTTGATGCAATTGGTCTGTTATAGCCAGAAATCCTGTGCAACAATAGATCTAAAATTACAGACATAAATTTTTTGTGTATTTGAAACCTAAGTATCATTTAGCAGACTAAATGCAGGAAGATCTCAAAGCAGAAATACAGTCATGCAAACACAATATAAAACAAGCACACATTTCTACTTTTAGTTCCAAATTAGTTTTACTTTACTCTTCTCCATTAGAAAAGTATGTTATCATTCTTTTTGTATAAAAGTACCAGTTACACAATGTAATTATATAACGGTAAGATTTCACTAATATAAGACACCAATGCAAGGTTTGGAAAAAGATCCTAAAAGACCAGGCAGAGCCCTACGGTTTTATTTTAAAAACACAAACTCTCAAGCCAGAGTACTCCCAACTGATTTCTGCAGGCTGGATATGGCCTTTATGACAATTTTACATCCTGCCTATGGTTTGTTCCTGTATGTGCCTCTTACCCTAAGGCTTGTGGAGAGCAAACTAGAGACTAAATGAATTCTCTAGCAGAAACAGGTTAACCCTGACCATTAAATATCCTGACAATCCCACATACATGTAGTCATGACAGGCTTACTTTCAATGTGCCACGTAACATAAGTGCGTTGATTGATCCCTGCTTATTTTTTCCTGAGAAATAATATTTACAGTGCAACAGCATATTCTGGTCACATTTCATGTGGTCGCTGAGAAAGCTGCCAACCACAAACTGAAAGAAACCACATTATCAACTGCAGCCTGCTCATACTTGCCTTTTCCTAACAAAACACACCTCCAAAAAGACAACAAAAACCACAACAAAAGCCAGCAAAAGCACAAATCAACAGGGATGTGCCTATAGTAGAACACTGCAAAATAAAGGTGATGTTCCCAGAAAACTTTTAAACTACTGTGCAGGCAAAGGGGTTTTCCTTTACAACATTTTAAGAAACATGTGAATATGCACAACAGATCTAATCCTCCCAGGAAACACCAGCTGCAAACAGAGCGGCTTCAGCTACTTAATCTGACTTCCTTGAACACCAGAACATGGTCCAGTTAGACCATATGGGCAATGCTACTGTAGGTAAAACTCATAAGATAAGGTATATGTACCAGATTTTTTTTTTCTGATTTATAAAAAGAAAGGGGAGGTGGGGACAAAAAAACCCAACTGTTTTTCTCAGCAAAATACCTCTAGTATTTTCATGTGATGAGGCAAATCCTGGCTATGGCACTGCTTACCATAATCATGCAAAACAAACAGGAGATTGCAACAGCATTAAAATATTTTATTAAAAGTTGATTTCTATTAATAAACTCAGGTTAAGTGCGATAATCCCTTCAATGAAAAAAATAAAAATAGGAAAGGTAGTTTTTATGTACATTTGCTGCTGGAAGAAGTCATTGAGATTCTCTTCCTTGAGAGACGCCTGAATTTGTTCCAATTATACTACTGCATTCTCTTAACTAGGTTTTACTGAGCATTTTTCAGAATTCACTGTCATGAGTAAAACATTCTTTAGTGCCTACAACAAAACATGATAAATGTTTCCATGCCCGAGTTAGGCATCTCATCTTAAAAGTGACTTTCCTGAAAAAATTAAGCAAGCTTCCCCTTGAGAAGCTTCACATCTCATATTTGAGTTCATTGGCTGCTAAGTATCAAACATACAATACAGTTAACCTTTACGTTTCATTATGATCTGTAGCACAGTGATAGATCTCGTCCAATGTCTCCATTAATATCCATTTCAAATTCTCTAAAAATCCTTATGCTAACTCTTCCAACATCACTATATGAAGACTGAAGTACAGTCCTAAAAGTTATTCCCTTATGATCTTTGTTTTTTCTGCCCAGCCTATAACCGCCCGAGTCTCTACTCATCTTCTCAGATTTATCTACGTATTGGTTAATTTAACTATGGTACTAGAATCAGGCATTCGGGGAACCAGAAAGGTACGTGAATTGATATCACTGATAGATGTTGTAAAGAAACATTTATAGGCAGGATGCGATGCTTGCTAATTTAAAACATTTTCATGTAAATAAAAACTCACCTGTCCTGCATGTGATTCAGAACCCGGTCTACAACCAAATCCTCCATCCAAGTTCATACAGGACAAAACGAATTCTACTGCTTTCCCCACATCAATAGCATCCAGCCTTCCCTGCAAGTCCGAAAAGCAACAAATGTACTCTACCTTCTACCAAGCTCATTAACTACAGACACTGCAGCATACCAAAGAGAAGATTCTGTACTCATGTAAGTAATGACTTAGGACTTACCAGAAGTGCAAGAGTTGCTGCAGCACAGAAAGAGAACCTTGTATCTATTTCTCCTAGAATGTAGGGGGTAGGGAATGAAATAAGAGTATTTTTATTAACAACAAAAATACACATGTATCACCACTGAAAACATGGAACAAAAAAAACCACCAGGTTTTATACTGAACATCAAAAATCAGCCAAAAACTGCCCCTGTACCATTTCCTTTTCCAGCTCACGTATTATTTCTTCAGTAATTTAGAAAGTGTGCATTACAGCTCAATTGACTGGTATGTTTACTGCACATAAAAGCAAACAACTCATTTTGAGCTAGTGTATACTCAGACATATATCCAAATAAATTCAACTAGTGGTAATTTACAAATAACTGTATAATTTTAGAGTTTATCTGTAGTGCTCTACTAGATAATTGCAGAGCAGTGGACTCAAAAATACTCACACACAACTCTTGATCTGCCTTAAATTCAGGCAAAAGTAGGAGTCATTTTTGTTTTTAGAGGAAGACTGATGAAAGTTACAAGTTTTCTTTTGCATACTTATACCTGGAATCTAAACCCAAAACGCTACACCTATAGCAGAACGATTGCTCGGCAAGTCCATACCAATATAACTCTCCTAGCACAAACTCCCAGCCATTAATACTTGAAGTCAGAATTTGAAACTGAACACAGCCGCAAACATTCAATTTTTGGTCAAACTGATGCAAATTGTGCATTTCTTCTTAAGAAATCCACAAGCTGAAACATATAAACATGTGCTGTTCTGTGCTACATCAGGTATCACACTCCTTCAGTTGCGCTGTAACTGCCTTTCAGAAGCAACTGAAATCCATTGTGCCTTCAGTGTGTTTGTTTCAATACTTCAACAAAAACGATGCAGCAAACTATGAACCATTTAAACACACAGCACAACAGCCACCTTTACAGCAGCATACATACACTGCCATGATCTCCATTGCTTAAATTTTAATAAAATCTATTGTATATCACTCATGTTCTTGTTCTGTTAAAATTCAGCATTCTGCAGGGCTAAGTATTTATGCTACGGCTCAAAAATACTGTATTTGTTCATAAAGAATTTACGTGCAGAAAAAAAAATCAGTATTAAAGAAGTTCAAGAGTACAAAACCAGTTTTTCTCAGTCCCATATAGCAAAAGATCCTTTCACAGCCAACAAGGATGAAGATTGTAACCGACTGCCATTAAATAGCAAGCATAAAACATTATTGATGGAATGGTATATCAAAGTACTGTCAAGTTACAAATGCCCAAATGTTTCCTTCTGCAAGACCTGGACAATTTATTTTTAATAAAAGAACGGAACTGAAGTTTAGAACATTTATGAAAGGAATGAAACACAACTCTGTCCTTCACAAAACCTCCTTTTCATAACTCAGAAAATAGAAGTGTTGACATACAATACATTAACAAAAAGAACATCCAAGAAAACTTAAGTTCACAGATTTACAAATGTCAACCTAGACATTAAAGATCTAAAAATTACCCCATTTGTCTCCAGCAAATGATCCATCTTCTTTCTGCAAGTTCTGTATATAGTCAACAATTTTATTTACATCAACAACATGGAGACTATCATATAAGATAAGAATCTGGGGGGAAAAAAAGACACAGTAACAATCAAAGAGAGGCAAAAATTTAAAAAATTTATTTAGTAAAAAAAATATCCCAGATTTATAAAAGATTTTATTTAATTGACTGTGAATACCACCTGGTAAGGTTTATTAAAATAAAATTTCATTCACTGCAGTTCACCTATCTCTGTCTAAAAACTTTAAGAAATTCTCAAATGAAAATACACACAATTCAAGCTAAACTTTTTCATGCTTTGCTGCCTTCCAACTTCCAGCTCTCCTTTCAAAAGCATAATCAGGTTTATTCGGTTTTATGTTAGCATTATGTAGAACAGACATTTGACTATGGTTAATTCTGTAATGGGATAATGACATCCCAGACTTACCAATTTGTAGTTCGTGCACTGCTGCTACTTGGATACGTGCAAGTGTAAGTTAAGCAGCTAGTTACTGGTGACAGGTCCAAGCCTGTCAGCAACGACTCATTTTGAACTATAAGATTTGTATTTACATTCAAATTTTAAATATAATGAATGGAACCAAATTGCGATTAATTTCAGAAAAAGTATGAAAAATATGATTAGACACAAACTATGCAGTCAATATAGTCTGGAAGAAAAATAAAGGTCATAGGAGGGGATACAGTTTTCTGAGCTAGCACTGATTTGAACCAGTTAATCCATATGACACAACGTCACATGAAAACAACAATACTGTTTCTGAGCCCCAGCTGGCTTCAAGTTTTACCATAACTTGTATAATCTGTAAAGAGATTAATTAGGAATTTATTATAAATAGCATAATAGAAAGAACGGTTGAAACGAAGCAATATTATAGTGCCAATCCTGGAAAATATCAACAACTATGACTTTGAACACCTAGAGTTAGCTGGGATCTCTCAATTGTAAGATAAAATTTAAGTCTTACAGAAATGCAAAACAGAATGCACAACTCCAACAGAAAATACATAATCATAGCATGCACTTTAAAAAGTGAATCTGAAAAAATGACTATTAATTCTGATCAAAGGAAGATGTGACATGACCCTTTAAAGATTCTGGATATGTAGATAGGACTAAACAGTGTTTGTTCACGAAGAACATGCACACTCATAAAGACATACTGGTTAAGTTTACTACAAAAATTTTACATCAATTTTCAACTTTGCACATCTACTGGTGCATTCAGTTAATGTGAACGTATTTCCTGGTAACATCAAGTATTTATTTAAAACCTAACATCCCTAACTTGTAGAAGTAAGCAACCTCAATTTGTAACCCCTCATCCTTATATTGGATTAGAATCTGTGAAAGGAGTTTGATTGGACAGTTTGGAAAAGCTCAAACATCATAGTCTAAAGAAACTTTAGTTTCCTGGTTCTCAGAGTACTCAAGACTAATTCTAGAGGTAAAGTAATGATAAATACCAGCTTTAGAGCAGGTAATACATCCCAACACTCATCACAGACCCAAGAAAACAGCATTCCACTGTCCTACCTAAAAGTTTGAAATCCAACACCTTAAATCCAACACACTTTCCTCCTAAAACAGGATGCTATCTTATTTATTTGTAACACTATTTGAATATTTCTTCCCTAAGATCAGACTAGAGACACATTATGGAAGCAATCAAGCAATCGTTCAGAAGCATTTGACCCTTTTGGTGTTTTCTTCAAAGACAGTTTGCGTGAGAAGGAGAACACACCCCATCCCCCACTCCCCCCCAAAAAAGATGCAAGAGATAGCTAGAAATTAAAATCTATCATTGAGATAGTTATGGCGAATAAATAAGATTGAGAATTATTTTTTTCTGAGGGGAAGAGTACACACCAATTAAATAAAAGAAATGCTCAACAGACTGGTATGACTTTTAAGTTATACACAACAAAAGCAGATTTCAGGAACACGAGAACTGGCTACTACTACTTTTGAACAGTAGGAAAGTCTAAACACATTACACATTTTTATGTATTCAATAAATATATAGTTTATATAAATATTACATAACTATTTATTGTCATATATATAGCAATCATAATATATAGTAATATATAGATTAGAAAATAAAATCCAAAACTTCACTCTTATTCTGGTCATACATATCTTTCACCTTAATGTACACTAAGAAGAATTTATAAAATCCAAACTTACCTACAAAAAACTCCAGCATAACCTCTAGCTTAGAAGTACTTCAAGACTGTTAGAAAATTTATCAAGAATGCAGTCACCATTAAGCGATCACTAAACGCATAATATTCCCAACTCTAACAATTTTTTAGAAAATGATACAGCTAAATCCTAAAGTTTTGTCCATTAGATTTTTTTTTTTAAATAAAGTACTGAAATAGTTTCTGTCGTTGGCATCCAACAGTAAAATCTGCAATCATCAAAATAATTAATTACAAATGTTTGTTTGTTTGTTTGTAATTACTCTGTGACATTTACCTGGACAGCACTGAGAGTATACAGAAGATGAGGATCATGACCTATGCTGGCACTGATTCCACCACATTCATGTTGACATGATTTGATGAATGCCAGAATTTCTTCTTTGTTCATTCGGTGCAGCTGCCCCATGAGATCCATTGCTGTCAGCCCCCAGTAAACACCACTCATCCTCAAATACTCCGACATACAGTATTCCTAAGTAGTGCATTATTTTAGTTCTTAATCAGATAAGCACATAATCAGCACAGAACAATGAAAATACACTACTACTTAACATTTACAAACAGTGTCAACCATCTTCCATCCTAGCAACAACTTCCTATGCATCAGTCACTCACAAATATTCTGTACATCATGCATGCGTGCGTATATACACATGCATACATACAGGCACATGTACCTACCTACATATACTACGTTCCCTTCCTCCCTTGTATTTTCTAGCTCAAAGTATCAAGCACAATGTCAAATCAAACACATTCAAGTAGTTAGACAACAATTCACTTCAGACCATCAGTTATTATCTTGGCATCCAAATTACCACTCAAATCACCACCCCAACTTGTCTCAAAAATAACAAGTATAGCATTTAATGAAATTTACTTCCAAGTGCCAAAACTGTCACAATCTAAAGTTTCACTTGGAAGTGAAATCTCATATTGAATTCTCTTGCATTGATTGCATCACCTACACGACCCATAAACATTGTTATCTAAACACAGTGCTTTTAAAGCACAAGAACAACAATCATAAGCAATAGTGTTTAAAATTCTTCTATAGACAGTAAAGATAACTGCAACTTTTCTTCAATATAAGCAGTTACTGACATTTTTGCACCTGCTGGAACGGGAACCCTATTATTGTGGGCTACATCTGATAACCTATGACTATAAAATTGACACTAGAATGTGTTTATCAAACAAAGTAAGCATGAAGCAGTGCTGCAGTGAGATTCAGCATGTCATCCCACCAAAAGAGCAACGTGCAGCTACACTCCTTTTGCATTCTAGCGGATGAAGCGGCAAAAAGTAGTACATTTTCCAGGTCTCTGAGTAATTTTAGAGCTAAACTGATAATCTTCAAATTTATACTCGAGATAATACATGCCAGGACTCACCACGGACCTGGGGAAATTGAGAAAGACATCTTTCTTTTATACTTTGTATGGCAAGGCAAGAACCTGAGCAAGTAAATAAGGATTATTACTACTGTTAATAAAACAACAGCTGAACTGAAACAAATCGGTACCTACATAATCATCTTTCTTTGCTCCATACGAAGCTATGTAGTCCGCGTGTTTCTCTGAAAGTAACGTGTTTGGGGCATCAGGTTTTATTACAACATCCTTTTGCGGTGTCCCCTGTAAGAAAGCACCAACCGAACATCAGCTGCATCGTCATTCCAAGAGATTTCGGCACCCAGGTGTCATTTAGCCAGCAGCACGCGCAGCGACTGCTCGGAAACAGACACCTCTATGTCGGGCACGGGACAGACCCCGCATCTCGCGCCCCCAGTGTTCCGTCCGGCTGAGCCCCGCCCCGGGAACGGGGAAATCTTTCAGCGAAGCCGCCAAAAAACACCA